AGCCTTCTCTTGTTCAGTAGCTCTACGGGGTCAGGACAAAGGTCTGGATAGCCCAGTATCCTTCCTCTGAAAGTGGCCAGAAGCAGATGGTTTTGGGGAAGAATAAGAGGAACAGAGCATGTATATATGATATTCCTTCCAAGTACTCCTCTAGCCTCTAGCAATCAGCATCTCAGGAATCTGATATAGTTTCTATCTATTTAGAGAACTGTGCAAAAGTCCCACGCTCCAGATTGAAAATGAACCCACAGAACCTGGCTTCGGTCAGTGACAGTCCCATTAGTTCCTTAATCTTTGGAACATTGCTGTTCAGTAACTGTTTTTATTTTAAAACCCTACAACTACCTAATCATCCCGTGGAAAAACCAAAACCAAAACCAAAACCAAAAGAAAAACCAAAACCAAAACCAAAACCAAAACCAAAACCAAAACCAAAACCAAAACCACCATCTTTTTCATGTAACATGGATGTTTGATATCTGACAGGAAGAAGTGTTAAGCAATGTTCATATTGAACAGAATCCAACTTTACAATTGCAAATATTATCATAAATAATAACGTGTGATAAAAAAGTTCGAGCCTGTGCTACCTGTAGGCTGCGAGAATGGTTGGGGAGAGAATTGACCTTGTAGGTTCTGATTCATATCTGCCAAAACCATGGTAGCATGTGTACATATGGGATCAAAAAAAGGGCAACTCATCACGTGGACTGTCTCCTGATGTGTCAGCCCACCATCATCCTCAGGCACCTGGTTGAGCAAGATTAGTTTGGTGCATTATGCTGTGTTACTGATGTTGCAAGAGTTACATCTCATCTGTTATTCTGGTAAGGCTAGAAATAGCAAGCTGTTGGTAAATTGATTCCTAGGAAGAAGCTTTTTCCAGATGTGTTACCCAGCACACATCCATCTGCCACGAGTGTCAATGGCAGGCCCTATCACCATCAAGCACAGGACAAGAGTCGAGGACGGTGAGCAAACACTCATCTGTAGGGCTGCAGGGAGTCTTCCTCAGTGATTAACAGTAAGACCCTATCATGCTGCTCATTTCATGGTCACTTCGCCTTGCCACGGGAGGAATGTGCACTCATAACAGTTAGAAGAAAAGTTGCCCAGGTGTGCGCATCCCGACGAAGAGCAATTGTTGTGTTTGCTAGTCCCGACAGCAGATTGGGCTTACCTCTCCTTGGCTGGATATTCAGCCTCCAGGAGCCTAGCGCTGCATTCATTGCACATAGGAAGGAAGAGGCAGAAAAGGCTGCAGCTGAGAGGGTCTGTCTTGCATATGCAGAAAGATCTGCTCCCCTCTGCCAGTCGCCAGGTGTTTTTAGCTTTTTCGGAGGTGCTCAGTGAGTGAATCACTGGGGACACCCAGTGCAATGTGTGTGCACTTCACTGCACTGCGTCCCTGTTGCACTTGGTGAGGAGATCTTGTTGGCTCCCACCTTTTTGTGGGGATAACCTGCATGCACGAAAATAAATAGCTATGGGGCTGTAGGCTGTTTTGCCTTCCAATAGGGTCTGCAATTTTTCACTGTTTTTGATCCCCAAAGGGCTGGACTCATTGCATTCAGATACCATTGTCCCACTTTTAAAAACAAAGAAATTACGAATAAGGAGGTGTGTGGCTGCTCAAAGCCACATGGGAAGCCTACATGAAAACAGATCCAAATCCTCGCCTTGGCTCAGGATGGCACTGTAACTAATAGACACTGAGAATTTGCAAATTTCTAATTCCACAGCATCAGACAAAAAGCTGCAAAAAGGAATAGATGTGTGAGATTTTTTCTTGGCAATGTTTAGGAATGAAGGGGATGAAGAGAAGATACACAAGAAGCCCAGACGGCTCCCCAGTCCTGGACCAGACCCTCACCTCAAAGTGAAGCACAAACTCTCCTTTCTGCCCCGAACAGAACATGGGGCTGATGATCCATAGCAAAATAGCACCTAATTCTGAAACACCCCGATTCACTGTATTCACTCAGTATGTACCTTTCTGGGCAACAGTGAGGATGCGTCATCTACACACATGTGATTGAGTGTGTGCATGTGTGCTTTCCAATTAATTCTTCCAGATCTTGTGGTGATTTTTTGGTCTCTATAAAAGGATAACCACTATAAGAATGACATTTTGCAATCAAATGTTGAATGCATTTTTTATTTAAACATTAAGATTAAATTACAAAAGCTTCTGGAACAAGGAAAGGATGCCAAAAGGAAAGAGCTGAAAACTCAGGTTGCATTTTCTCATTCATTGTGAAAGCAAAACACATTGGCAGCAGCAAGGCGTTTTATAGAAAAGTTTCAGATGGACAGTACAAAGACCTTTCTGTCAATATTGTCACTGAAACTCCTTGCTGTCTTGAAGCGCATCTTTTTTTCTGATCATACGTCTTAGTGTTGGCTGATTGGTTTTCACTGTGGGAAACAAGTAATAATTATTGCAGAATTACTGTAATTCTTTACTGTTAATCTCCGCTAACATAACGCAATCTTCTTCTTGGGAAAATGTCCAAACATCATTTACTTTACCCTAATAAAAATGTCTACTGCTGTTGTTAAAAGTTTTATTTGCACAAGTATGTTCCTAATCTATGTTAATTTCATGCAATATATCTCTAATTTTTGGAATAAATACTGAGAATCATTCGAGAAAATTCCTTGGAATGCAAAATCCAAACAAACTTCATATTTTCTTTTAAGGGCAAGATTCCACCACCTTTATTTACACAAGTAGCATCCTGCTGCCTATGTTACTTCACTGCAAGCTAGAGGCTCAAGCAGTGAAAATCACCATAGCCCCATTAAGATTTACTGCATTGTATGAACTTCCGATGAAAATTGGGCTGAGCAGTTTTATCTGTGGCATAATGCACTACCTATAACCAGTAAAGGTGCTCGAATATAGCCCTACACTTAATAATCTGGCACATTTACAACTGGCGTTACTCAGTAACTTATCAGATGACAACAGTGGAGCTCTTCTGTAAAATACAGGTTAAGCCTACATTTGTATGACTGTACATCTGAAGTATAAAAACCACGATATGTAGTACACTTGAACAGTTAAAAAATATAACTTATTTTATTTGTAAACTATCAATGCAAGATACTCAGCAGCAAAGAAGCCATGTTCAATGTCTTCTGATCTTTTATAAAGATCTGTTGCTGTAAGTAATATAATCGTCTCTGAAACATCTGAGGTTACATGTAGAAACAATCAAGGCAATATTATTTGTACATATTATTAAACATGCAAAAAACTTCCTGAAGAATATTGCCCAAATGTAGAAAGTCGTCTGGATCTCAAATTTTCCTTGGTAGCATCTGCTTTGTAAGTATGGCTCACATGTGGCTTTAGAGTCCTTCAGTTTATTTTGGAGAATTGGCACCTTTAATAACAGGCTCCCTATTCAAATACGTGGCCCAGTAAACTAAGTTAAAAGTTCCAAACAGCACTGGAAAAATTATCCGGGACATTTTGTCAATCTTACTGATGCTGTTGTAAGTCTTTTTGCTTTCAGCGGGCTTTTCTTCTGCAGACTTCACTGGAGCAGATGCAGTGTTTGAGATGACGGATGGGGCTGAGTCCTTTGGCATGTTTGGTGCGGGGGTCATCTTCCCAGTGGTGTACGTATTAGTTGATTTGTTTCCCAGCAATTCACGCTCTTTTTTCTGCAGGGTAAGGAACAAAACATTAGACCGCAGGAACAGAAAGGGGAAACATGTTCTCGAGATATTAACCCAAAAATCTAAGTACCGTAATCAATCACGCTAACAAATGCCTGTTGGCTATTCCGACTTCGACTCCCAAACAGCTGTTTCTGCTTCGATTTTATAGCCCTTACCCAGGTTAAACTTTCCCTGACGCCAGAGAAAGCTAAGAGCAGCCGGCCGGACCCGGCTCCCACCTGGCGTGTGCATTAGCAGCTTCTTTTGTCAGGGTGACGCGGTCCTGCACCTGCAGAGGTTGCTGCCCCGCGGGCAGCTGCCAAGACGTGAACCTCACCCTCCTGCCTGCAGCAAGGAGCGTGGGGAAGGGCTCCTTGCCCCTGCTAGCCTCCCTCTTTGTACCGCTCTTTCGGGACGCCTGCGGGTACGAGCTCTCTCTAGGAGATCATTTGCTAAGAGGCAGTCCTATTCCAAAATTTTAATTTCAGCTCGAAACTCAAAAG